TAAACTTACTTTTTCATTAAGGTTTGGTATTTCTCGCCCTATAGATGTGCAAGTGCTACAGTCAATTTAAAAATGTTACAATTAAAAATAATACACAAGAAACAATACGTAGGTAACAAAATTTTACGCCGCACGTAAACAAATTACGTTTATTAAGAAAAAAAGGGTGAATAGCTATTATTTGGTTACGGTCGGACTAAACAAGGCCCAAACTGCATAGTAAACATGCTCCGCCTTTCACTGCTGCGTAACCATGACCACCGTTGTAAACACTTTACAGATGTAGAGGCGAGCCCCAGAGCCCCCGCACCAGCCGCCACTGCTTTTAAGTATTCATAGCATCATACTTCTAAGCTTCTAAAACTAAACTAAAAGAGTAGTGGAAATTATAGTATTTCATACGTTATGGACAAATTGCTCGGGTGAATTATGGAAACAAAAATAGATGTGCACATCCAGCTCCGCTTAAGCCCTGATTGCCCATTTGCATATTCAATTTTATTCGAAATTGTCCATATCAGTTCATAACCGTAAATGGAGCAATATAATGAAGCCTAGGTAATATTAATTACCATGGAATATAACATTGTTGCGCTGCAACGCGATCAACTCGGTTTCGATAATATCCTATTAAGCAATGGCGTATGTAACGTCACCCTTGGCATGTAATTAGAGGCGGGGTGATACAGCCAGAATGGGTGGAGGACCAATTTCCGCCGTTATTAAAGCCTATTAGCGATGCAGTGATAAAACTGGTCCCTGCTTCGGTGAGGGATGGTTTTCACGGGGTTTAGCTGTCGATTCGACGCCGCGGCGTGGTGCGAACTGCGCATCATTTTGGATAAAATGTTTGCCGTTTTACGGTCTAGTAATTCGGCTGTAAAGGTCGCCCCACATGAACGTCGAATTTATTTGCGTTGTAGCAAATGATGATGCATGAACCACAGGAAAAGGTTTCAGCTGAGCGAAATTAACAATGGAATGCTATAATAACAGTAAACTGTTTTGATTTTAATATCCCTTGTACTCTTTTAGTATAGTTACCAAATCAAAGGTATCCATGTAGCTTAGGCTTTAGAGTTTATGTCAGTTATTATTTTTTTGCCCTAAATATGTATGTGAAATGAAGAATTCTGGATAAGTAAATAATTAAAAAAGCCCTTGGACGGTTAGTTGTGCCGGCTTGGTGTAAATGTAATAAGGTTGGAAGGGGAGAAAAAAAGGGAATACCGAAAATTTTAATAAAACGTGTTCCCGTTGCCGTTATCAAAGGCCTTTAATTTGAAAACTCTAAATTATATTCAAAGGGGACCCTTATATTCCACGGTTTATGTTATTAAAAAATGTAATAAAAACTAACCCGGTTTAATGTACCGACCTGACATATTTAAAAAAGTATGTGTAGAAGAATTTAACAAATTAATATGTAAATTTTGCATCATACAAAAATTGTTGGTTTATAACTGGTGATCCTTTAATTAGTGGAAAAGATGTACTCTGCAGGTTACAGTCATGCTTTCATAGTACCTACGGATTAGTAGATCGCTCTCTGCCAGTAAAGCAACGAGCATAGAAAGCAGTGACAATGATATGGCATACTTTGTAGGTTATCATAATAAAATTTCTTGAATATTGAAGTTTTGATAATATATCTCAAAATTTCTTTGAACTTAAGCAAGTTTATTAAATTATCTCCAGTTTTTTCAAGAATGATATGGTAGTAGGCCGATAATCTGAAGCTATGCCAATTATTAGCTTTTGATTAACTCAATAAAAAAGTTACAAATTTAAAAGAGGAAATACGTAGAAGACAATTCAGTTGCAACATAATCAATTATAAATCTCAACAGTGTGGGCCAGTACACATAGGAAATGCCAAAAATATCTCACGTAATTGAGTTGTATAAGCTTTGTATAATACTTATGGTTTTCTTGTTTATGTGCGTGAAGCAACAATAGCAATCACACCCCACATATCCACCGATATATAATTAGAAATGTAATGATATAGGTAATGTAGGAAGAAGTCTATTTCCGATGTTATTAGTAATGCAGTAATGATGCCAAACGGTAAATGAGGAGCGAGCCGGTCTACTTCGACTGCATGGGCAATGAGTAGTCGCCGTCGTCGTGGGCAAGGCATTGTGCTCGCTAGACTCGCTGGTGCTAGTCTAGCGGCGTTGCCACGTATCCTCTTTGTATTCAAAACAAAGATTTTGTCAATGACCAATTATTTACTTTTCTCATATCTATAATGACTAAAATATCGATATGGCAAATGGAAATGTTAGTAGGTTTTGTGTTAGGTACTTTGAGACAAGGTTTAACTATGGGGCTTATCTTATAACTGCTTTCGATTCCATAAACAAATCAATAATATACTTATGCACCATCTCAAGGATAAATTTGTATAAAAAATGCAGGTGGTAGCATCTGTTTACATTTCAATTTAATGTAGTGATAGTGGTAGGAATTTCTGTAAAACTCATCTACATGTAGTGATTTAATTTAATCTAACCTCTTTATTGAAATGATTTCACTGTTTAATATAAGCACGAATGCAAATGCATACGAAAAATCTGTTCCACCAAATTATTGCCTCAAAGCATAGGAAAAAATAAGTCAAGTGAGGTACAAGTTAGTTAAGCCTTCAATAGTGAGCTTTATATCTAACACATAACAAATACTGTAAATTTACGTACAAATTTAATAATCTCTTTTTTAGATGTTCGAAGTTTGACTATCATTTACTATAGCAGCTGTATTAGACTTAAAATAACGAGTTGTTACTTCCAAATGAGACACTTATGATGATCTATTATTTAATAATCAATCTGGCAACACCGCCGATGACTACTGTTGCATTTGTCTCGAATAGATCGCGAGAGCTAGGTCACGCGCTCTACAATTACATTCTTGCGGAAAATATTAGTCATTGTCTTTACAGCCATACTATTATGTTGTCTCCTTTTTTCTCTGTTACAAATCAACAACGGAGACAAAAAGAATAGTACTTTTTTATTGTTTACATATTTTTTATAGAGTTACTAACAAGGGCAACATTTGTAACAATATTATTTGAACGATCTACGAGATCCCGACAATGTAAAAATTAGACGGAGTTGGAGTGAGTGTGAGCCTCAATCAAAACTTATTTGGTAAATGAAATGTGCGTTTGTGGAAAGTTTTCTCTGTATCTACCGTCTCCACGTTGTCGTTTGAAGAGTTAAATTAAGAAGCACCAGCAATTCTAGAACAGTTTTCGTGTGCCTATGCCACTTTTTTTTATTTCTACTACCTCATCATGACAATGACAAAGTCTTTCAAACAAATATACATATAACCAGGTACATGTAATACGTTTATTATTTTCTGATATATGTTCAATTAGAACTGTAGACGATTTTATATATTTAACTCTTTTATTAACTCACAAATAAATGTTTTTAATTGTGTCCTCAGCTCTTTTTTTAATGCGGATTATGCATGGTGTTCCAGAAAGGTTATAGCGTCGTTTGACTACTGATTTTCTATAATCAAAACAAGGCTATTTAGACTAATTTACACATACAAAAGTGAAAGCTTATAAACATATAGTCCAATAAATGTAATATCTCGAGAAGAAAATTGCTGTGGATGAAATGGCGTCGAATTGTGCAGTAGCACTATCAAGATTATCTCTTACCATTGTGAACTAAATCCAATTGAATTAATTAATATGGGCGTAAAAGGAGATTAGACTTGATTAAAACAGAACATTTAAAATATCCAATGTAAGACTATGTTGAATGTTGGACTGAAAATTGAACATCCAAATAATATGAATCGTGATGAAGGCTTTCAGATTAGCATAACCTGGTTACCTCTACTAAAGAACAAACAACGACATGAGAGCAGAATGCGTGATACACCACTGTACAATCCTGAAAGCATACACAACAGCACCGATGATACCAGAGACGAACGTGAAGCCACACCCACCATCCTGCTACGCAGGCGTGGAGTCGTACGAAGCGGTAACGGGGATATACCCAAAACCACGCCCTCTACCCCACTCCGCAAGACCAGAGTCGTGCGCAGCGGTAACATAAGTGGAACTTACCACCCCACCCTCACCGCTGTACTACGCAGAAAAGCATTGTTTGATGAGCAGTTCCGTGCGTAGCGGTACTTAGACCCAGCAACAAGAACTGAAGTCAACATGAAGGGCAGGCCAAGGAAGTGCAATGTGAGTGTATAACTGGCGGTAGCCAGATACATAACAACTTTCAATCATTTTTAAATATAGAACTAGAAAGGTAGGCAAGTCCGTTGACGCGGAACGAGAGTAACCTACAGCTTTTAATATATATATGGATCAGTCTCTAGTTCAAACGATTTTAAGTGATTTTAAAAAGTAAAAGGTACAACATTCATGAAACTACGAGGCGGAGTATACCTTAGCATCACGGACGTGGACTGGAATTTGGATGGGTGACCTAAGGCAGGCTCGTGGACGTGGCTGTGGCAGCCTACCAAGAGACCTGGGTCGCCCAACATTTGCCGCACGCGTGTGGTCCCCGATAAATGGTAATGAGAACAGAGCAAGAAAATCTCTGTAACTCAAGACCATGCTATCATACATAAACTGTACGAGACTTTGCCACCAAGCCACCCGTGTAGTAAATAGGATGGTCGAGTAATGAAGGAGGGTGTACAAGGGGCCTAATAAGACCTAAGTGCCGCGGTGGAAGACAATTCCACCACCCCTCCGACATATATACATACATACATATCTTAGCAGGTGTTGACTTACGTATGTTGAGATGGTCGAAAGAGTATTATTTTGAGCCCAGAATCTGTGACAGAACCTAACCTTTCTGGGATATAATTCATGTGGAAAAGATTTTTGATGACTTCTAGTACAATGTGCCTAGTAACTCATTTGTAATTGTTTGAGAACCTCTGATTTACTTTTAAAAGTGTTTGTTTCGTTATTAAATATATAGAAATGAACTTACATGATTCGTTGTCGTGAGCATGCGCTGGCGGCATGGGCCGCTGCGTGCTTCTAAGGAGCTCCTTGCCCTCTTCGTGGAAGCTGCTGTCGTTTTGGTGCGCTTCGACTTCGGTTCTGTTCGTACTGATCACTCGCGTCGTATTATAAATTTCACTTCCACCTTCACTATCGTTACCGGCGTGAGCACTCAGTTCGAGCTTGGATCCATCGACCTGTCCGAAAATTTTGCTATTCCGCAAGGAGAATACGTCGGTGTTAGGATTAGAGTTCTTAAAAGTGGTCGAGTTCTCTTCGGATATCGATTTGCTCTTCAGGTCGGCGATCCGGTTGCGTTGGGCCGCCTTGAACTCACGCTTAGTTCTAATTTTTCTGAGGTACGGACTGTGCAACACTTTAGAATTTCCGCGAATTACTCTAGTATCACTTTTTACAAGACGACCAGGAATAAATAGCCTACTTAATACTAAACTGGAAGTTGGGAATTTGGAATTATAGAGTGGTGACTGAGGGTTCGAGACAAATTGGCCTAAGGGCGCCTCTGCGCTAGCGGACGCATAGCACCTCCCCACTATGGTCAAAGTGGTAAGGAACACCAAGACGGTGGCCAGCTGTGCCGAGCAACTGCAGCGGTGCTGAGGTATCTTTTGGGCCGTGGTCCAGATGGTGACCAACAACCCCTCATACAGCGCTTGCACGGTGAGGAACTCTGGACACACCTGAATCTCTATTCCCAGCTCTGTACACCAGATTGTACACGTTATCACCGGAGGTTCTATAATACAGTTTGGGCTCTCTACGGGGTACTGATATGGCAATTCTGAATATACTGCAAGTATTGTGATATTGGCAGCAGGTAGACGAGGAGATGCGAGTGTCTTTTCGGCATAGATTCGGCGTCTACCGGATACAAGGCGCACGCGTGGGATCCCAATTCGATTCGAAGTTCCTTCGATATGACCTTGCATAAACATTGCATAACACGCTTGTGGTGGTGCTCACAACCATTTTGAAACTAGGAAAGCTTGTTTGGAATCGGACTTTCCTCTTCAAGATGCGATGGCCAAGGAGCCGCAGCTGAAAAAATAAAACCAGTTACAATTCATTACGTACGAGGTACAATAACGACAAACTTTCAGAGCTAACTCATAAGGGTGACATTTTTTATATTGGAAATGATTAAGGAACCGGTAGTGGAAAAATAAATGTCATGAAAATGTATGTGTATAAAGGGGTATAAACTTTTAAAGTGTAAAAAATGTTCGCTCACGACCGCTGGGCGAGGGAGTGGTCCGATCGCAGTTATTTTAGTATCGTTGGAAAGGAATCTGCGAACTAAAGTGGGTGAGGGGGAGGAAAATAAAATAATTTGATGGTTTAATGCAATAAATATACTTATTACTAATTATAAAATTTCAAATTTTCAAATTGTCAAATTTTAACATATTGTATCAATATATTTTGTAGAAAGTTAGAGAATACATAATATTCTGATCATCTAGTGACACACAACATAAAATATAACTGCGAAATTATCTCCGCGCTGATTACCACTCCATTCAAACGAAGAGGTCACAATTTATGATACAAACAAGCGATAAATAAGCTGCTTAACTGACAACATTGAATAAAGCCTGGTATGAGGCAGGAAAAATAAGACACCAATAATAAAATTCCGCCGCAAATCTCCACCTTAATATTTGTTTACGTAGAGAGTTTTCACCCGTCCATTATCGCAGGCATTCGCAGCACATATCAAACGAGCCTCCGCTTATTTTCTTGGCAGAATTTCCAGTATTGTTCCTGGTAATCGCCGACATGAAACTGTACCGTGCACATTGTTGCATTGTAAATACGGTGAGGTGAGTGAATTGCGCGCGGACTAAACGGAATTGGAAGGAGGATTTCTTGTCATGATCGCCTGCCGGTCACAAATTCGGCCTATGAGCGGATCAGGTTGAATGGAGTCATTTTCCGTTCTTTTAAAACTATTTAAATGTTTGTGCAAAATATATGTATTTCGTAATATTTTTTATTTTTCGTCTCTTTTCACAAAGAAAACATGGATTCAAAGTGTATCATTTCGAATTATCATGTCGACGACGTAGCTTGTGGAAGTTTGCCCAGAACTATTTTTATAGTAACTATAAATCCACAAATCTACAGTCGATTCTATGATTCCTGTAGAAATACACAACTCCAACTTACGATTCCTCAACAGAGTAAGTGCAGTGAACTGGAGTTTTCACTATTATCCGCTATTATTGACCGCTGTTGGCACTGTTGGTCTACAAAATAAGGTACTAGAATTGCCATCTATATAATGAAAATTCCTTATTTGAAGTCCGTCATTATTATTATCATTCAACCAGTTTGATATTATTCTGAAGAATTCCTATGAAATAAGATAAACAAAAAAGTAATTATGTTACTAATTTATATTAAGTTTTTATAGGTTAATTCAAAACTGAACTAGCCTACTGTTATTAGTAATTATTTGGACAAATGTGAAAGTTCCAGAGATTAACTCAATTTCCGGTACAAAATTTACATGACTACTCCATTCTAGTTGCTGACATGCCTGAAAGAAATCCTACCAAGGAGCTGATTATAAGGTTTAAGAGTTAAACGTCAAAGAATTGGAGCAACGAAGCAGTAATAATCTTTGGTAATACGATTATGGTTAGAATCTTATGTCGACATACGTAGTTCATTAGTAATCGTTAAAAAGAGGCCGCTTTGCATATAAAAGGCGGAAAAGGGATGGAAATTTAGACGAGATTTATGATTTTACGCATGAATTCCTTATTGAACTCGTATTAATCCTTTGAATTCCTCGAACTCTCGATCTGCTTTAACTTTAAATCTATGCACTCACATGAATTCGATCCATGTGAGCTCTCTGAATTCCTTAAACTCCTTGAATTTATAGGAACCTGCAAGTTATGAATTTACATGAAGTGCTTATTTGTACCTCATGTGAACCCTTTGAATTCCTTGAAGTCTGCATTTACTTGAACTTCAAATTTATGATTTTTTTATTAAACTCCTCTTTCAGTGCGATTAATAGTTTGGATTTAATTGTACTTGAAATTACTGAATTCATATGAATTTATGAGAACACTTTGAACTCTTTGAACTCTGAATCTACTTGAAATGAATTGAATTCTTAATTAAACCAATAGGAAACTTTTCCACTCTTTAAACTTTCTAGATGTAATTGAATTATAAATTTATTAACTTACATGAACTGTTTATTGAGCTCAGCTGAGTTCTTTGAACTCTGAATCTAGTAAACTTGAAAGTAGTGAAATTGCTATAAATTCTTTATGAAATTTACTTATACTCGCGTGAATCTTTGAACTCCGTTTCTTCTTCCATTTTGTGAGATCACACGAATTTCTTATTAAATCCATCTAAATTATTCCTTGAACTTTTTGAACATGCAATTTATGACTTCATACGATTGTTTATGAATTATTTATTTATCTAATGTGAACCTTTTGAATTCCTTAAACTTGCAATATACGAATTTTTACGCTTGATTTACTTGAACTTGAAATTTATGAATTCAGATGAATTATTTATTGAATTCATATGAACACTTACATGAACTTACATGAATTGTTTCCCGAACGCTTCGACTGTATTTGAAATTGATATTGTTGAATTTACTTGAATTTATTGAGCTCATCTGAATTGGTTGAGTTCATTTAAACTTGAAATTGATGAGGTCACATGATTTGTTTACTAAACCACCTTAACCTTTAGTGTTTCTTCAATTCTCTATATCAACTGATTCTTCATCTTCAGAGTTCACGTGAATTCTCGTGAGTTTTGCGTACAGAGCTCCATGACTTCATTTGAGTTCACGGCATCTTCAGTAAAGCGTAATTGATCCGTATTTAGGGTGAATTCAAAGAAACTTTGTGAAAATTTTTCAATGGCGGGTCGTTCGTGGGGAAGGGTATGCGGAATTGACGTTGTCCGAGGTGTGTACGTTCTGTGGAAGGCCCGACACGGGCGGCACGCGGACAGCTGGCTCGCGGCCAGTCCCGCTTTTAGAACACAACCAGCAGACTGTGCTGTGCCGCCTTTGCCCGCCGCCGCCCCAACCCTCCGCGCCACCGCCCGGTCGCCGTGAGAGGCTTAACAACCCACTAAACTCAAAAGTCCTGAAATAATTGCGTTTTATACTGGATATCTGGACCCGAATGGAAACAGCGAACGAATTATATAACGGGGAATTCGCCCGTTGTTATTATTATACCAGAAATGAGCACCTACCGAAACGAAAGCTAAGTGCAACTGAAACTTTTCTAATTATTAAGACACCGCTTGTGTAAACGGTAGATTTCATTAGAAACTAAAGAAACTGAGCTAATAATCGCAGTATCTAACTTAGATTTTTAACTCGACGTCAGATTATAAAAAATTGTCGTTTTATGACTCTATGACAAAATTTGACAGATGATAGTTGGGTTAATTTCAAACATTTTTTCTTAAATGACATAGGTCCGATTTGAAATACGAAATAATTTTCATATTTCAATCAAAGTAGCCTGATAAATAAAAATGATGGTTGCTATTTTGAAAAATGGGGTATGATGTGCGAATATTTGCTTGGAAACAAATTTTTTGCACTCTTACTTTTGGTTACAAATTTGACAAAAATTAGTTACAGAATTTTTTATTTTTTAATTTGATTATGCCACTGGATTCAACAGATCAATGTGACTTCGTGAGAAAATATCCACTGCCAATTGTATAATAAATATTATCAATCCCGTTGTTCCTGAATGGAATAAACAACCCAATTATACAATTTCTTTAGGGCTTCTATTTTCAAATTCGTGATGAATGAGTCGAATTTGAATCTATTTGTTAGTGTCGATTATTTTAAACAAATTAAATACCTGCTCTCTTAAATCTGGTGTATTTGTAATATTTCGATGCCGATAGGCACGGATCCGCCAGTACACGCAAAATATTTAGATTGAAAACCGAAAGGAATATATATTTTCAGTTTGAAGGTGACTTTTCGTAAACAGACGTACATTTTTTCACGGGATCTGTTTATGTCTACTGCATAGGTATGTAGGGTGTAAAATCATTCATAAAATGTGTTTATAATTAGGTTCTGTATATTAGTTTAAGAGTTGTTTTCCTCGTGTTGGGTTTATGTTTTTTTTTATAAGACGCGTACCACCAGAAATAGGTAAAGTCTTGAATACCGATCACATATTTTATAGATAGTGTGTAATTTTCAACAGAATTATTTAATGAAAATGTGGAATATTTTTTATTTGTTGGTAAGTGCAAGATTTGAAACATGAAAGAATGATACTACCTTGAACAAATTTGATTTATAAAATATAAAATAAGATTGAAAAATATATCAATTTACTGTCAAAACACGACACCAAAAAAAGCTGCGATGCTATGCGTTTTCTTTAAATAGAAAACGCTGTACATTTTTATAAGTGTATATTCGAATATGTAAAAATATACAGGATTTTCTGTAAAAAAATTTAGATAAGTGCGTCTTGTGTTTCCATAATACAACATTCAATTATTGTTTTTCTAAGTACAGTTTTGAAATCACAGGATTTCCTACAACCCTTAATTTGCGTTCAAAAATTGTTATTATTTACTATTTTCTTCTGAATGATATCGTAAATACATATTTGGGAAAAATATGATATGATACATTTTTATACATACACTAGGCACAGAAATTTAGGGATATTTAAAAAAATCCAAAATTTTGGGTGATTTTCAAAGAGCTGTAACTTGGAGGGAAATGGTCGTAAAGAGAATAAAAAATAAGGAAATTGAAGTTTCAAGTGTCTAGTTTTCAGATCTGTAGATTAAAATTTTTTAGCGTCAGCAGTTTTTGTGTAATCATAAGAAAATCAACGGAAAAAAATTTGTAAATTTTTGCTTTTTTTAAAAAGGCCTATGGAGTTCAAAAATTTTTTTGGAATTTAATCATAATGCTCTTTTAGATAATTTAATTCTCTTCAATTTGAGCGGTCGTC